ACCAATCGATGGCGTCTGACGATCCAATTAGATCTTCGGTGACGAACACATTGAGATCCATCTTGATCTGGTTGTTTTCGACACTCGATATTCTTACTGGGGCTTTCTTCATCTGAACTTCTTCAGTTCCTTTCACTGTCGTCAGTTCGAACGTCCAAGGCGTGCCATTTACACTCAGTTCTTCCGCTGCCTTTTCACTGAGGTAGGAAGAATCAGAGCACGGATCCAGTAGAGCGTTAAGCCTTAGTCTCTTCACTCCAGTCTCCACGAAGACAGGGACAGTCTGGAAGACCATCACCTTGGGCTTGGAGTTATTATGCGCTGACGTTGACAGCGCTCTGTTCTGTTGCCGGTCCTTTTGTTGTTCTGTGGCGTCACTAAGCTGTTTATCGCCCAAGCCGATGGATCTTCCACTTGTGCGTTCTGCATGGAGTAGAGTGTGATGTTTCCCTTTGCACCCATCCACACTGCAGCCGGGAAACGATGTGCAATCCGTAGCACGGTGTCCGCGGCGGAGACACCTGAAGCAGAGTCCATAGGATCTACATGTGCTCAGTCTCTGGTCCAGATCCATCCCTCCAAAACTTTGACAGTTTGTCAGTTGATGATCACCGACGCACAGCTCACAGACCGTGCGTTCTGTCTGGCTGATCAGTGTTTTCTTGGTCCAGCTTTTGTCCTTTCTGTGGCATCTGTGCATCTGAGTTCTGTCTCCGGCCTGGTCGACTTCTGCAGCCCTCACAGTTTGCATTTCGTCACCCAGCGCCGTTCTCATTTCCTTCAGTGTCGGATGCCTGGTTCCTGTGCTCCTGATGATATTTTCCTTGAACTTTGATGGAAGCTTCTTCATTAGGATTGGTGCCAGAACTCTCCCACATGTTCCCAAATCTATGCCCAACGCCTGCAGCTCCCGTAGATGGCTCTCCATGTCCGTTCTAAAGGCCTCCAATTCCTCCATGTCACCGTGCGGGCTCTTCATTTCTGCAAGTTCATTTATATGGGCATCAATGATTTCTTCTTTGTCACCATATGTGTCTTGTAAGAGATCCAGCACAGTTTGATAATTCGCTCCCGTCAGGCGGAAACCTTCAATGAGTTTCAACGCTGCTCCTTTCAGCTGACCTTTCAGGTACTGAAATTTTTCAATGTCAGCCAGGTCAGCTCTGGTGTGGATCGCTGCTTCAAACAAGTCCCAAAAGTCATACCATTTCTTCAAATTTCCGTCAAATGTTGGGAGTTCTAGCTTCGGCAGCCTCCCTACGTTGGCTCTTGAGCTCACTTGTTGCATTTCGGGCATCTTAGCGTTTAGTACTTCTTGAAGTAATTTGTCGACCGAGAAAAGAGCTTTGTCAATCTGAGCGTTAAACGACGTAGATTCATCAATCTCCTCTTCGACATTTGCTTCATCAATAGCATCTTCTATCTGTCCGTCCAGTTTCCTGATCTTTTCATCCTGTTTGCGTAATCCCAAACATTTCAGCTCCAACGCCGTCTTGTCCAGTGTTTCTTGAGAAAGCAGATCATCGATCGCGGTAATCAGCCTTTGAGCAGCACTCCGATGCCCATTTCTGACTCTTTTTAACTTGCTTAGGTTCTCTATCTGGGTCACTAGCACCATGTTTCCGTGATCTCGCGTTGTGTTTAAACAGTTTTACGTTAGTGTGTTGTATGCTATTTACTTTACGCTAATGAATCAATCTTAGCAATGTTCAAAGCGTGAAAGCTATTCGAATCTTGACCTTATCTCAAAAGCTCAATTAATTATCCATTCCAAGATATTATCATAAGGATCAAGTCTCATATCTTAATCATATTTTCTCAATACACTTTCAAAAACACACTACATAATTCAAGATCCAATACGCCACTGTATTCTCTCAAAATTCTCGTGACCTCTATTTTTACACAAATGAAAATACTCGTGCAAGCGGTAGCACTGATCCTCTGTAACAGGGAAATGAAACTTGCAGGATCTAGTATCCATTACGAGTCTCACAACTTGTAAATCTCGGATTTTTCCTGAAGGCCATATGAGGTCAGGTCATTTTCGTGACCTCACCATTATAACCCTCGCCGGCCGAGGGGGGGGGGCGGGTGCCGCCCCCCCCCCCCCCATAGGGTTTTTTCGCGATAGCTCCGAACACGCTGGCGATAGAAAGCTGAAACTTGACATACCTGACCTTTGATTCAAGCCGGATCTTTTGACATCAACCGCATTTTCGGGTAGGTCAGGTCACTGACCTATGACGTCATAAGTGAACCTCTGCACGGTCTTCAGATGTCGCAATTTCGCAACGCCCTCACTGCCAGAGGAGATGTCACAGGGAAATGAAACTTGCAGGATCTAGTATCCATTATGAGTCTCACAACTTGTATATCTCGGATTTTTCCTAAAGGTCATATGAGGTCAGGTCATTTTCGTGACCTCACCATTATAAGTCAATGGGGAAAAATGAAAACTGCTATTCTGGCGCCGCGAACGATCTCCAACTATCTCAAGCACACAGTATCGTGATTTCATGCACTCCTTGCAAGGTTAGATACGTCACTTTTGCAATGTTGACCTTGCGTGACGTCATTTATGACGTCATCAAGGTCATTTTAGTTTTTCGTCAATAACTCTTGATCAAATTGAGCTAGCGAGTCGGGAAAGCCACCAATGGACTCAGGAAGACGTGACGAATCGAATGATATGTGACATGACTTCTTTCGACCAACTTCGTGACCTGGGGGTGCTGACCTGACCTTGACCTGAGGTCAACACCCCAAGTTGACCTGACCCGGACAAAAAGTATATCATTCGACGCGCCTGAGCGAGGCGAACACGATGCTGCCAAAATCGCGGCTCTGCGGCCGTTTTTTGCGAAGTTATTTACCAAAAACTGAACCGTACCATGGGGCACTTGACCTGACCTCAGAGGTCACCGGTTGACCTAGGACCTTAAAATCGGGTACCAATCTCTGCGTCTTGTAACGGCACACACGCTCGTTTTTTCCGCGACGCGCTAGCTCCACCAGGGGCGAAACGGCGAGGGGGGGGGGTCGTACCTGCCCCCCCCCCTCGGCCGGCGCATATGTAGAAAACCAATAGGTCCGGCGAGGGTCAATGGGGAAAAACTGCTATTCTGGCGCCGAGAGCGATCTCCAACTATCTCAAGCACACAGGATCGTGATTTGATGCATTCCTTGCAAGGTTAGATACGTCACTTTTGCAATGTTGACCTTGCGTGACGTCATTTATGACGTCATCAAGGTCATATTAGTTTTTCGTCAATAACTCCCCATCAAATTGAGCTAGCGAGTCGCAAAATGGCCTGTGCCGGCGAGGGTTAAAGAACAAGTCGAAAGAGCTGTCGGCATTGAATGCACAATTCCACCGAGCCGAGGCATTGAGGCTCCCGGCGCTATATAACAACTCATTTGACTTATCAAACCAAATGTCTGATAAATTAGACTGATTATTCACGAGATGTCAATATTTAAGTGTGTCAGCATCGACCAGAATCATTTGGAAAACATATGGGACATATGATAAAACCGAAGGTGATAATAAACTTACATTTGGCCGTTGTCAAAAAGTCATAGATTCGGAAGATCGAATGGTTAAAATTCACATAGTTTAGCATTCATTCAATAGAAAAAGAGCCAGGTATCAAAACGTAGAACAATCAGTTAGCCCAAGTTTCAGTCGAGTGCATTCACCAGCACCGAAAAAAATATAATAAAAACATCGGAGGTAAGCATTACCCTGTAACCTCGCCGGAGCTATTGGTTTTCTACATACGCGCCGGCCGAGGGGGGGGGGGCGGGTACGACCCCCCCTCGCCGTTTCGCCCCTGGTGGAGCTAGCGCGTCGCGGAAAAAACGAGCGTGTGCGCCGTTACGAGAAGCAGAGATTGGTACCCGATTTTAAGGTCCTAGGTCAACCGGTGACCTCTGAGGTCAGGTCAAGTGCCCTAAGGTACGGTTCAGTTTTTGGTGAATAACTTCGCAAAAAACGGCCGCAGAGCCGCGATTTTGGCAGCATCGTGTTCGCCTCGCTCAGGCGTGTCGAATGATATGTTTTTTGTTTGGGTCAGGTCAACTTAGGGTCTTGACCTCAGGTCACGGTCAGGTCAGCACCCTCAGGTCACGAAGTTGTTTGAAAGAGGTCATGTCGCATGTCATTCGATTCGGCAGGTCTTTCTGAGTCCATTGGTGGCTTTCCCGACTCGCTAGCTCACTTTGATCAAGAGTTATTGACGAAAAACGAATATGACCTTGATGACGTCATAAATGACGTCACGCTAAGTCAACATTGCAAAAGTGACGCATCTAACCTTGCAAGGAGGGCATCAAATCACGATTCTGTGTGCTTGAGATAGTTGGAGATCGTTCTCGGCGCCAGAATAGCAGTTTTCATTTTTCCCCATTGACTTATAATGGTGAGGTCACGGAAATGGCCTGACCTCATATGACCTTTAGGAAAAATCCGAGAAATACAAGTTGTGAGACTCATAATGGATACTAGATCCTGCAAGTTTCATTTCCTTGTGACATCTCCTCTGGCAGTGAGGGCGTTGCGAAGTTGCGACATCTGAAGACCGTGCAGAGGTTCACTTATGACGTCATAGGTCAGTGACCTGACCTGACCCAAAAATACGGTTGGTGTCAAAAGATCCGGCTTGAATCAAAGGTCAGGTATGCCAAGTTTCAACTCTCTATCGCCAGCGTGTTCGGAACTATCGCGAAAAAACCCTATGGGGGGGGGGGGGCGGCACCCGACCCCCCCCCCCTCGGCCGGCGAGGGTTAAGAGGATATCAATTAATCCAACAGAATGGGCAATGATTAGACCAGGGTTGCGAAGCCGATGGATTTTCGGTGGCTTCGACTTTGACTCCGACTCCATCCCCCAAAATTCGCTCCGACTCCGACTCAAATCGGAAATGTCGACTCCGACAAATTCCGACTCCGACTCCAGCTAGACACCCCTGACTTAGATTGACTTAAACAAAGGTGATTTATGTCTCGATTGACACGTGTATTGTCCGCACAATGTTCCGTCGGTTAAAGGGACCCTCCCACCTTCAAAAAAGTTAATGAATTGGCATGAAAGTGATGTCGCTCGGTTCAGAAAGAGCGAAAACGAATATGTACCAAATTTCATCGAAAAATATTCACCGGTTTTCAAGATATTAGACTTTTACTTTTGTTTACTTTTTGGGATCTCCGCTGTTCCTAGCGACTTTATTTGAAAGTGCGGCATTTGTTGCGCGCAAAGCAGCATATACCACCGCGTGCTCCAAACGTTTTAGTAAAAGATTTAAAAACTGTTAGACCTCCGCTGACGTCACAAATTCTAAGGGGGCATACCAATGCATTAGCCCCTTAGAATCCGAAAACTGCAAGTTTGAAATTCCATATCTCCGAATTAAAGCATTTTTCGATGTTGTGAGTGCCCAAACCGGTATTTTCAGGCCATGGCCACCAATTTGGCTATCTCAACTCAAAACTAATGTTAAGGTGGGATGGTCACTTTAAGCGTATTGACGAATTGCGTGTTCACATGCTGTGCCTTTTCTTCATATAACTGTTCAAAGCGCCGGCCTTGCCTTCGTAGCACGTATGTCACAAAACAAAACAGTAGTCAGATCACCTGTTGACGAAATTGACTAAAAAGGGAAAATGTAAAGGAGAAAAACACCGGCTAAAATTACGATGCAAATCCCAAGACAATTATGTTAGGGTTAACAATAATCAGATGCCTACCTAATGATAACTACACGCGTATGCAGAAATGTGCTGGATACAGTTAACCAAGCATCAAGTAAGCAGCATGACCCCCACATCGAATATATATAAAACTAGGGTTACGTTGGTAGCAAACCCCCTTATAAACAGCCCAGGTGGGCATACTTGCAAGCTACCAAGCAAAAAAAAAAAAACTGAGCTCATCAACTGAAGAGGTCCTGATATATATGGCAAGCTCGTGAGATACAAAGCGAGATTCGTTTACAGCCGATTCGAAAATAATATCGAAACTTCAAACCACTGGACACGTCCCGACGATTTTCACAATCGCAGAGCTCGTACAAAAATGACTCCTTCAACTATCAGACAACACACATGGTGACCTCTGCCCGCTCTCCAGCCCGCGCTACAGTGTGGCGATGCGGCTGACCTCTCCGGCCGGAAGGACGCCCTTCTCGGTGATGATACCGCCCGTGATCAGACTGGCCGGCGTGACGTCGAACGCCGGGTTCCACACCTCAATACCTGCCGACACCAGACAATTGGCGGTAATGGGCCGGGGAGCTCAAAGGGCGGGAGAAGGCGACCAGAGAGCCGAGACGGTTTATGAATGGGCATACACTGGTGTATAAATCAGAATAAAGTGCAATAACAATTTAGAAATGGCTCCAAAGATCGGTGGTGCAACGACTACTTTGAATATGGCCTTGGTCTGCCAGAAATCGTTACATAGGCCATCACTGACGTATAACATATATAAATAGATCTAAATAGCATAATACGAGTACTCACCATCAACATCTTTATTCACAAATAAACGCATCTCTCACGTGGCATAAAGCAAAAGCCAGTTTACCTCTAGCGGCCGTTCAGATAACTACTACTCCTAAATACCGCCGCCAGGTGTCAGCTCACCCTGGGCCGCCACGCGCTGGCCGGCCAGCTGCAGCATTTCGTCGGCGGGCCGCTCCTCGATGGGGATCTGGTCTCCGCTGGGCAGTCCCAGGTCGATGGAGGTGGCCGGCGCCGCAATATAGAACGGTACAGAGTGGTGAGCGGCCGCGATCGCCAGCTGAGGGTGCACAGACCGCGATAGCGACGGTCAGAGAGAAAGGCAGGCTTAGGTGAGAAAGTTGGAAATGTGGACACGAAAGCTACGTGAAGTTACTCACACCTTTTGCGAAGGTTTGTTGTAGCAGTTAATTGTTAACTGCACAAGTAAGTGTATGCTCCAAGCCCAGCGATGCATTTCAAACAGCAGTTATCGAGTCCAATCAGTTCGTTCCTCAAAACCTCTACGCCTCTCTAGTTCACAGGTAGCACAGCGCCCTCTGTTCCACTCACCCTCTGCCCTTCCCTCCCTGCCTCTTCCCTCACCTGGTAGGTGCCGATTTTGTTGGCCGTGTCCCCGTTGGCCGCCACCCGGTCGGCTCCCTCTGTCCTCTGCCCTTCCCTCCCTGCCTCTGGGCTCACCTGGTAGGTGCCGATTTTGTTGGCCGTGTCCCCGTTGGCCGCCACCCGGTCGGCGCCCACCACCACCGCCTGGACGCGGCCCGTTCGCAGCAGCGCCGACACGGCCGAGTCGCACACCAGCGTGGCGGGGATCGCGTCGTGCACGAGCTCGTAGCTGGTGAGCCGCGCGCCCTGCATGTACGGCCGCGTCTCGGTGCAGTACGCCCTGCCTGGGGGGAGGGAGAGGGCAGACTCAGAGGTTCAGTCTACAGCAGCGACACACAGCGGCGGGGCAGTGAACTAATCGGTACTGGTAGCGATGACACTTGCCTGTCTCTAGTCTCTACCCGTACAAATGACACTACTGGCATATTGCTGATGGTTGAAATAACGCCACACTGTCTCAGCAAAGCGACCTTGCTTTCAAGAAATTGTTCACGAATCGATAAAGTACCCACCACGAGCTAGTAAGTTTTCACAAGGTCTGATGACCGTACCGAGTCGTCACATACAGCCTGCCGCAGTCTGTCGCACTGACTGCCGAGTACCGCACCGAGTCTGTCTATACTCTAAGCCCGCACCGCATTTGTGACCATGCCCAGTCTGTCGCAGTGACTACCGTACCCAGCCTGCCCATTCTGTCTCGAGTCCGTACCGAGTCTGTAACTATACCCAGTCTGTCGCAGTGACTGCCGTAACCAGCCTGTCCCACACACAGTCCGTAGTCCGTACCCATTCTGTCTGAGTCCGTACCGAGTCTGCCGGCGGCGTGCAGGGAGCGGATGACGCCCAGCGCCGTGCCGTGCCCGGCCGTAGCCAGTGATCCCGTGTTGCAGTGGGTGAGGACGGACACGGGGCTGCCGGCGGCCGCCGAGCTCAGCAGCGCCGCCGCGCCGTGTTCACCGATCGCCCGATTATCGGCCACGTCAGCGGCCAGCATCGCCTCGCAGGCAGACACCACGCTGTAGTACCGGGACAGGGCGCGGGGGAGTCAGCGGCCAGCATCGCCTCACAGGCAGACACCACGCTGTAATACCGGGACAGGGCGCGGGGGAGTCAGCGGCCAGCATCGCCTCGCAGGCAGACACCACGCTGTAATACCGGGACAGGGCGCGGGGGAGTCAGCGGCCAGCATCGCCTCGCAGGCAGACACCACGCTGTAATACCGGGACAGGGCGCGGGGGAGTCAGCGGCCAGCATCGCCTCACAGGCAGACACCACGCTGTAGTACCGGGACAGGGCGCGGGGGAGTCAGAGATTCAGCATCGCCTCGCAGGCAGACACTACGCTGTAGTACCGGGACAGGGCGCGGGGGAGTCAGCGGCCAGCATCGCCTCGCAGGCAGACACTACGCTGTAGTACCGGGACAGGGCGCGGATGGGAGGTCAGAGGGCAGGCGGGAGAGCGCGAGAGCAAGACACACCAACAGGAAGGACGAATCGCGAAGAATGGTGAAATTGATGGGGCAACGTAGTTATTTGCTTTCGAGCCATAAGAAGCTACTCGAACTGCTTGCGTGGGACGCAACTTTCTTTTTACACAAGATACTACAAGAAGTTCAAAGCACACCCATTTAATCAGCAGCGAACATACCCGTTTACACCCCTCGGCCAAACTCTCTCGGCCAAATCCCCAGGCTACCATCGCCGCCCAGCTCCCCAATGACCTGTCCCTCAGCCCCCCCCCCCCCCCAGCTCACAGTCACTACTGACCTGTCCCTCAGTATGTCCAAGCCCCCCCCCCACGCGCCCCCTCAGGCTACCGCCGCCTTCCAGCTCCCTGCTGACCTGTCCCTCAGTGTGTCCCCCCTGACTCCCCAGCTGGCTTACTGACCTGTCCCTCAGTTTTTCCACTCCTCCGCCCTCGCTCTCTGTGCTCTCCGCCAGCTCGATCAGTGTGACAGCCGCCTTCTTCAGGTTGACTGCCGTCGGCCGAGAGGTGATCAGGTGCGCCAGTCTCTGCCGCACGTGCTCCAACAGCGCCGCGGACGTCTCGAACTGCCGGCCGGTGGTGAGCTCCACCGCCAGACTCAGGCAGCCCACAATGGCAATGGCGGGCGCGCCACGCACCTGAGGTCACGGGAAGGTCACAGGTCAGGTCACATATTAGGTAACAGGCCAGGTCACAGGTCAGGTCACAGGCCAAGTCACAGGCCAGGTCACAAGCCAAGTCGCAGGTCACCAGAATGGCTACAATTATGGGCTGAATCACGGATTGGTCCATTTTGGTCAGAGGTCACTAATATACGTACACACAATCCACATACAAGGCATACATCCAATCCGCCAGTTTGTTTGATGCTGGCATCAATAACGGTCGGCCCCCAGCGCCAGCGCGTTGTACCACATGACCTCGCCCGTCCCGGCCAGTCTGGACTCTGGCACACGTCAGGAGTCCGGGCCCGGTGTGACCATTCATAGACAGATATACCTACACAGTACACATACTCGGCTCCCACTTCCCACTAGAGACGTCTATAAAACACAGTGACAGGCCATCAATTCCCACCTGCATCTTATTGATGACGGTCCATCCGGCGTCAGCATCAGGGACAGGTATGTAGACGGTCTGATGAGGCAGCAGCAGCTGGTCCAGCACCTCCAGCCGGCCGCGCGAGTAGCGGATCGCCTCCAGCGTCATCGTCTCAGCAGGTCAGGGCAGGTCACACACTGAGGACGCACACAGAACCGGGGGTCAGTTCAGCAGATTGTCCCGGAGTGGTGGACTGTTCAACAGCCCGTGATTGAAATCAAGAGCCTGGCTGATCGAGACGGGCAGCGACCGGGTTCGAAGTCGATTGGATTACGGGAGCGATGGGCTCGATATGGACTTTGAACTACACTATGGGATTAAACAGACTAACGGCCGGTAATACAGTACCAGTTATGGATCTGTGATTTACGAGTGGGCTTCGGGAAATATCAGTACTCTGCGATGCCCAGAACCGACTCGCACAATGACGGTCTGCCGCAGCTACTCGGTGTAAGTCAACAGGCTCCGGCGGCGGGCGGCGTCTGTCTGCCGCCTAGGTCTGTTGGGCGGACCTTGAGCCAAGTGCCTCTGTCCTCCAGACGCATGCATGCGACCCACGCGTGGCGTTTTTCCGTAAACACCGGCGGGACGGGGGCGAACGCGGCACATCCCAGCCTCGTCCGGCCCGCCACACGGGCGGACAAAACACAGCGTGGGACAGACACCGGACACCGGGTTCGGCCCGGCCTCCCTGTCGGGACCACCGGCGGTCCCCCGCCGCCCGCTCGCCCGCCCCAGCCTGCACACGAGCCCCGACACACCGCAGAGCCGGCGCCCATACGACAGCGTGTATTTACATCCGTCCGTGCCCCGTCCGCCGCGCGGGGAGCCCGGAGCGCACGGGCCGGTCAGACCGCCACAGTCACACTCATTAGCGCGGAAAAACAGCACCGTTATGGCCACAGGGCCGGCCGGCCGGCTGGGTCAGCACGGCAGCATGATAGCGTTCATACACGATATACAACACAGTTAATGTTTCATATTGCAATAAACCAGGGCAGCCGGCTGCGACGTGCAGGCTGTTGGCATGGTGATACGGTAACCGGGTACGGTGGATCTGTTGCTCGATAATGGCGTCAGGGCTAAACAGAACTAGATAAACGCAATCAATGATAACATATGCATATTGCAGCTGATGACTATTATAAATTATAATCATGACTATTTTGATCAATTAATTATGAATCATGCAAATAACGTTAATACAATTGCAACAACTCTCACAGCAAAGATACAGAGTCGTGATAAAATCACACCAATACGTACGACACTCGTACGCCATCACACCCTAAAACACCACTGACTTTCACGGCCAATCACACATAACTCACTGCTTACCACTCTAAATACTATCAGCAGATAGTTCGGAAAATATGTGACTTCGTTGATTTGACGAAAAATCAATAATACTGATCTACTTGGCACAAAGGCTATCTATGTCTCACCACTTTCACTTGTTTTTAATATAATCTAAAAGGATAACCGACCCCGTACTTCCCTTATGTAAAAGCCCCTTAGCAGTTTTGCATAGGTTTTGGTCAGTGTAAAAGTCAGGAAGTGGGCTGGTGGCTCTAAGATAACCTTCAATGAGATTCTTATCTGCGCAGAAGCGACGGATCACGGAAGACACATCAGCTACCTACCACCTTTTCAGGCAGCAGCGACGCTCAAAAAGTGAGCAGCGTCGTTTTCAAACTAGAAAAGCCTGCACCACAAGCGCAACACTCACACGAGTTGACAGACTTCAGCGGCCTTTCCGATCTTTGAACATCAGCGCGCTCCAAGCGCTCGGTTCTACCGGTGCCCGGGTGGCGAGAGCGGCAGCCACGCGTCCCTCTCGGGGCCTCGGGGATGTACGGCGGGGCCGCCGCGAGGGCCGCGGCGACCTCAGGCGGGGACGGCGGCGGCCGAGCGCAGCAGCGGCGTGGTCTCCGAGTCGGTGAGCGGACTGGAGTCGGCCGGCGGGCCGACCAGGCCGCTCGGGTCCGGTTTGCAGCAGCCGCTCCAGAAGGTGAGCAGGCGGAACAGCAGCAGCTCGTCCTCGTCCTGGCGGTACACGCCCGTCGCCGGGTCGTGGCGGCGCACCTGCATAAACTCGTCCAGCGGCGTCTGCGGGAAACCCTCCTGGTAGTACGTCTTGATGGTCTCGTACGAGTCCATGATGATGGAGATCATAAGACTGAGCACCAGGTAGATGAAGAAAAAGACGAAGACGTAGACGTAGAACTTGGAGAACCAGTAGACTAGCATCGACCTGCGGGACGTCTGCGCGAACGTGGCGAACATGTCGTCTCCGTTCATCAGCGAGAACAGCGTCTCCGAGGTGAGGCTGAGCGTGCGGAACTTCATGTTGTACGGGTTAAGGATCAGCCAGCCGCAGAACAGGAAGCCGGCGTAGCAGATGAGCGCACACACGGAGAAGCGGAGCACGCTCGGCAGCGACTTGCGCACGGTCAGGATGAGCACGTTGTAAGCGCTGAAGAAGCCCAGGTAGCGGAGCACGCCCACCCAGACCAGCAGGTTGCCGATGCCAAGCATCACCGAGCAGACGTTCCACGTGCCGGCGTCCACCTGGTAGTCGCCGAACTTGTTCTCCAGCTGGATCTTCATCAGCGACGCCAGGATGATGAGGCCGTCGTTGATGATGATGAGAACGTACCACAGGTTCAGGAAGCGCAGGTGCTCCTCCGTGGTGAGCGAGTAGTCGAAGAACTTGCGCATCACCTGGTCGGTCTCCTGCCGAAGCAGCTGGGCGCGGTACAGGGCGCGCACGCACATCACTAGCGACACGGCGCACACCACGATGACCAGCACATTCACCAGCGTGAACAGCACCTCGATCTCGGTGTCGTCCGTGCGGAACTCGACGTCGCCGTCGCAGCGGCGCAAGCTCGGCTCCACGTTCATCGAGAGCAGTATCTGGCCGTCCTGGTTGCTGTTGTCCAGAGTCACCGTCACGTTGAAGTAGTAGCAGTCCGGGACGTCCAGCGGCATCACCAGCTTCAGCTTCACCGCGTTCAGGCCCAGCGAGAGTCGCGTCTCGCTCAGGCTCGAGAAGGACACGTTGAAGTCGTGCTCGCGCATGTAGCGCTGGCTGGAGACGTTGTGCGCCACCAAGTCGGCCTCGGCCGGGCGCACCACCAGACAGCGCGTCTGCAGGTGCTCGTCGAAGCGGTACCACATGTCGGCCGGCCGGATGTCGGCCACGCGGTACTCGTCGACACAGAGCTGCGACACGGGACCGCTCGAGGCCGGGTAGTCCACACCGGCTGTCGACAGGTTCCTGATGTCGTAGTAGGCGTTGATGGCGAAGTCTAGCGCGGCGAAGTAGTCGGCCTGCGCGTAGACGGCCAGCGGTCCGATGGCCGGCGGGTAGGCGTTGACCTCCCGGCTGACGTCCCAGCCGCGCACCAGCAGGTGCTGCAGCGACACCTGGCTCGTCTGCAGGTAGGTCACGTGCGAGAAGCGCCGACTGGCGAACAGCGTGAGCTGCAGCGTCACCAGTACCACCTTCACCAGCTGGATGGTCAACTTGTAGGGCGGCCGGCGGCGCGCGCGCCACTTGTCCAGCGGGTTCATGAAGAAGAACTGCAGCTTGCGGCGGGTGCGCTCGCCGGCGGCGCGCTGGTGCGGGTCCGGCGAGTTGATGCGCTCCCAGCGCTCGGAGCCGGAGCGTGGCGGCGTCTGTGTCATCTCCTGTGGCACGTTGAGCCGGAGGCCGGCGCTGGCGGCGCCACTGCTGCCGCAGCCGTCCCTGGGTGCCGGTCCGCGCGCGCCGGCCGCCAGCAGGTCAGACACCTCTGCATCCGTGAGCGACTCCCGGGAGCGCGAGAGCCGACGGCCCGGCAGCGGTGACGGGCACGGACTGTGCGCCAGCGTGGCCTGCATGGCAGCCCGCGCAGCCGCCCGAACTCGGCGCCGTCTTCAGCCGTCAGGAGTCCGCCGGCAGAGCCAGCGCCGAACACCTGCAACAGTTAGATACATTGACATAAATGGTCTATACAAGTCAGCCAATCTAATGCCTATTCAAACTACATGCCTACTAATGCCTACTCAAACTACATGAAAATTGAGAAAAGTGTCAGCTATCAATAAGTCAGACAAGGGATGGACTGTCGAAGTCATGGCGGTCTTATGGAAGGAACATTTTATTCCCCAGTTAATTAGAGTTCAAGTGACCCGTGTCTCTGCGGGTCTCATTCAAGTCTGGAAACGCTTGGCCCAGCGAATCATCGTTAATAATAGCATGCAACGCGGGGGCAAAATGAACTGCATCCAATAACTACCTACGTAGCACACCTATGTTCGATCAAACTTCGTAGCAGAAAACCCATACACGTTCAAGTACGCAGGGCTAATACCGAAATCGCTGTCATTCACCGGTATTACCGAAGCCAAGAAATATGCGCTGAGCCGTAATAAACCCAAGAGCATTAAACTTTTCGTCCGAGCAGGCATTATTGTGCAACTCCCTCTGCAATTAGCCAACTACACACGAACATGCTTGTTACATAACGCGGAGACCTCCCCCAGTTACTTGATCGGCGGCCAGAGACGAGCAGCCGACCCTCCGAATTACAGACCCGGGTCAGCTGCTGGAGCTGACAGAGACCGGCCGGAACCCAACTGGGTCACCGGCGGCGACACGACAGAGCGCCGCCGGATGCAGAATGTGGACGACATGTGACACAACAGACAGACACACGGTGTCCAGACCCAGGCCAGGCATCGAGCACACCAGGACAGGAAGGGCGGCCACCGGACCGAAAACAGAGCAACAGCTAGCCTGAGCACAACATCAGCAGCAAACTGGGCTGCTCCAAACCAACGCCAAACGAAAGCCAGAAGTAAAACCTATATATACTGATCCAATCCAGAGTCAAGACTGCTCCTTGGGTAAACCACGGTAGAATACGCATCATCTATTACCATGCTTAGCTGACGAGGGGAAAACTGACCAAAAGGGTACCTCTGGACGACTATTTCTCCAACTTTCAGAGAACCAAACTTTAAAGAATTCAAAGAAAGCCTGAACCAAAGAGGTGCACAAATCTGGTACAAATGTCAAATGATCGTGTCTAAGGCGCGTGCTTAGTCCCTGCCCAAGTTTCACTTACTAATCGGGATGCACTAGTGGTCAATAAAGTACCAAGCGACCGTCCATAGCTTGAGAAATAAAACAAACTCGTTTTTTTTTTTGGAAGGCCCAATAATCAAAATTAATAGTGACATCAAGACAATAACCAAACAAAGATCTTTTGACCAAGAATTTCAAACTTCGTTATAATCGTCATTTATCAGCAGAATGCATTTAGCAGGATAACATGGGGGTAAATAATCAAATTTACCGACAATGGGTGAGCGGTGTTCTAACAAACCGCTCTTTGTCAGTACCTACGCAGTGCAATCGACAGGCAAAATGACATATCTAAGTGCTCGCCAGACAGGCTCCATATTCGGCAGCCAAAAGCCACACGGTGCAGATTCAAACCAGTTTCGACCCGGCACACCCAGCTGGATTCGACCGGCCCACATCGAGCGCACAGTTGGATTGACAGTCGCGGACCACCCGGGTTCCATCATGCAGCCGGTCGCTCCATCCAAATACCCAAGCATGCCGACCCGCCAGTGGCCAGTCCAGATAACCGCCCGTCAGCCCACGTACCGCTGTTTGTCGGCCGCACCAGACCACGGCGCGCACACTGGCTCCGGCGAGACAGGCGACGGGCCCAGTGACGGCCACCCACGCTCCTCCGCCCTCCTCGCCGCTCCAACACGGAACAAGAGCGCCGTGACGCCACGGAGCTGGACAGGACGCCTGGAGGTTCTACCCCTCCTCACGGCACCGCTCGACGATGAGAAACAGCGGTCTTGGCTCGGGTCTAGCGCGGCGCTGAGGCGTCCCCGGGCGGCGGCGGCGCGCAGCGGCGACTGAGGACCGGCCGCCCTCCCCCCCCCCCTCTACTCCACCCCGGGCCGCGGGCCGGCTCCGACAGGACGAGTTGCGCCGCTCCCTCGCCCGCCGAGCGCAGCACGGCACGACGGTGACGGTGTGTCCATGCACGGTGGACAAGTAGTAAACATGGTTACCTTTCAATCTAAATGAGAATAACGCAACATTTATCGTTCATAACTATGACCTAGATTTATCAAACAATAGACAGCTTATAGGTGACACGAAATTCAGATGAAGCAGACGAGGAAATCATTTTACTTTTTTAATACTAAAAATCCGGTAAATACCAAACCGAAGTGAACTTAGTGAAGTCACAACAAACTACAGCCTTATTTACCTAGTTTTTTTCATGAAACAATAGGCAGAATTTCCTGAAAATAGGTGTGGACAATGGACCATGCAGGGTGAGAGTCGGGCCATGCTATGGGCCTCCGTAGCACAATAGAAATAACTAGGTACAGCCCTCTGCAAACTGCGTGGTAGGTATTCTTTTTTTCGACAAAAACGAGAATAACGCGAATACTATGCTATCGGTCATTCGGAAATCGTAACAGCAACACGCGTGGGACTCCGCACCTTAGATTGGCATCATCACCGTATTCATTTTCCATCTAGTTCGGCAGCAAAACCCGAAAGTTTATATTTGCCCCCAAAACAAACTTTGCATTTTGCTGCCACACAAGGCGCATAATTTGTTTAGTGATAGACCTCATCGAAGGAGTGGAGCATGGCGCATCTATTTACAGTGAGTTCTGACCGACTGATAGCATAGCCTTTAAGTTATTATCGCTTTTGTCGAAAAAAAGAATACCTACCAGTACCACGCAGTCTGCCGAGGGCTGTACAAGCAATTAAGCAGCCAAAGGAATCCCTGCACAGTTACCTAAGGAAATGTTACACATGGTACCTAACTATACATTTGTGACCTTTCCATTTCATCATATTATAGGAAATTTAGCAATACTGTTTATGAATGTTCATAAATTTCCCGCGAGCCTTTTAAGTACATGGCTCCAGGTTCATATAGTCTTGAATTAAGGTTCATTTTTGGCTGGTTGGGTAGACATCTGTTTGGCCCCATTGTTTCGGTGATTGATGTCAGGCACACAATAAAAATGGTTATAATTTACTCTTCAAAAACAAAGCTTGCTTCCAATTTTATTGAAATGTTTAAAATTTTATTATGGATTTTTTTTTAATCAATATTGTTTTAAAGATCATGCTCTCTTCATATTGGATTTCAGTATAAATGAACAACTGGGTAAATTTGACCATGCAATTAACCCGCGCCGGGCCGGTGCTCCGAGACTTCCGCGCCGGGCCGGGGGGGGGGGCTGAACACCTCCCCCTTCTAACTCGGCTCCTGGGCCACGTAGCGACACGCGGTAAGCGGCAATCGAAAGAACGTCCAAAATAAGGTCGAAAACACTTCGGTCGTTTTTTTGGGTCAGGTGAAAGGTCAGGTCACCAGAGGTTACCAAAGGTAAAATGTTGGCTATTTCAACATTTTGGAGACTGCCAACGGCTAACTCGAGAACCGATAGAGCTACAGCGCCGCAGAAAAGCGCATTCGATAGCTCTTTTAACGCTCTTTCGCCAACATGTCCTCAGATTTGACCTCAGGTCAACGGTTTAGCCTCCAGAGGGCAAAAACTCCAAAAATAGCCGTTTTTACGAAGTGTTTTTTTCGGCAATAACTTTTGACTCAAAAGAGCCACGACGTTACTTTTGCCAGCATCGTGTTCCTCTCGTCGAGACGCTTCGAATGAACTATAATTTGACCTTGAACAGTCAACTTAAAAATTTGACCTCAGGTCAAGGTCATGACCTGACCGGAAAAGGTCATGTTGCATAACAGTCGATCCGCATCGTCGAGTCGAAAACATATAAGGCGTTTTCATCGCTCTAGCATGCCTCTATCAGAATTTATTAGCGAAAAACTGTTAGATACTATTCATGACCTGAGAATGAGATGACCTCGGGGCACATAACGAGGGGTCACAGGTGCCATTTTCCGGTTCAGTGTGTCAATTTTACCTATATCCCGATGTTTGAGAGTGTCTAGAATGGCGTTCGTGCAAAAGAGACGCTTTTTAATTTTCTCCCATTGACTTATAATGGAGAGGCCGCAAAATTGACCTGACCTTATGTCACCGAAATCAAAATTCCGAGATATACGTTTTACAGATATTGTTACTCTTATCAATCGCTGAAAGTTTCAAGTCAATCGTTCAGTCGGTGTAGCTATGACGAGCATTCCAATTTTTTTCTGAGGTGAGGTCACTTGGCGTGACCTGATCTTGAGAGACCAGGGGCCGTATTCACGTCGACTTCGTAAGTCGATTTTCTTTCGTAAGTATAATTTGGTATTCACGTCGACACTTCTTAAGTTTTTATCGACGGAGTTCACGTGATTGAAAAAATTTACTTAAGAAGTAGGTCAAACTTAAGAAAATTCTTACGAAAATGATCGACGTGAATACGGCCCCTGGGTCTAAAATTTTCACAACATGTGCAGAAAACATGGACAAACAGCCAACAGGTGTGCCAAAAACCACAGGGGGGTGTTCAAACACCTCCCCCCCCCCAGCTCGGCGCGGACTGTCCCACCTTCTAAAATGTTGTTAAAACCAGTTAAATTGTGCCCGACTTTATAGATTGGATGACCAGGAACACGGTTCTGGCATTTATTTTTCATTAAACATCTTAGGCTTCCCATATTCCAAACACAAACTTTCAAATATGTGACGTCACAGCCCAAAATTACCTCCTTCCCCAGGCCACATTACTGTCATAAAGCTGATTCTTTTTACTCTGTAGGCACCACAACAAAGTTCAGACCAAGTTTTAAGCGATTTTTCAACGAACAAACCCATTTAAATCAGAATGACTAAACGAGGTGACGTCACACTAACGGTCGCTCCATGTTGAAGATAGGGCCTTGCGCAAGGCCCATTTTCAAATGAAGGGAACGAATTTCTTCAACACCAAGAGGCCACGGGGGTTGCAACCTAGATAGATAGTGGTTTCTGAACCTCGCCGCAAACTTGGCTATCTCAACTCAAACCCCATGTTAAAGGTGGGATAGTCCCTTGGGATAGTGTGGGATAGGTGGGATAGGTGGGATAGGTGGGATAGTGGGATAGGTGGGATAGTGTGAGGAAGAAAACAAATTTACAAAAATCATTTGAGACACTGTATGATGGTACTACTGAATGTTGTAATGACATGTTATAACTTGGTTTCAGAACCAATGAAAGACTTTGTCAGAAACATAATAGTTTTGCATTTGAATTTTGGAATATTTCAGATTTAGAATAATTTAGCCTGCACCCAGCTGAGGCACCTGAGACCTGAGTTCTGAATTTCCACATCATGCTTATTTTTTCTTTTAACACAACCCTTCTAACTCGATCCCTGGGCCACATAGCACTATCGACACACCATAGGTGGCATTCAAGTGCCAAAAGGAATGAACCTTCGGTCACTTTATGCGTCAGCCGTCAGGCCAAAGGTAAGGTTCCCAGGGGTCATTGAAGGTAAGGCATTGCCAATATCCAATTCAAGCTTCCACAATTTTAGAAGAAGAAAAAAACAGTGCATAGCTCAGTGCTCACAGCCTCATAATACAAATTATCATCCTCAACCTATGAGGGCTATTCGGGTCCCTGCAAGTGCAGCATAGATCTGTGCTGTGTGTGTGCGTCATATTTGGGTGACGTCAGCCTGCAGCCGCCTGGCTCCGCCCACTCTCCGCCGGCACGCCACGGTCGAGCATCACTGCAGCCTACTCCACTTGTGGTGAACCGTGGCGCGGGTGGGTGGACCGGTGATTGTCGCTCAGTAGGTAACAGTTAAATAGCATTCAAATGTGGTTAAGAGCAATATGCCACTGAAAAGTGATAATGATACTAAAAAACAGCACACAAACCGCTTACAATAAGAAATAATAGACAGTGAACTTAAATCCACGCCACTTTCGTCTCCTGCAGCACCAAATTTCCAGCTGCAGGAAAGAGAAGTATGCTTCAGTAGGTGACGTCACACAGGCGATGATGCAGTAGTGGTGTGGGCGGGACTAACGGGCCACATAGCCCTCACTGCGCATGCGCGCTGCAGCATATTTCATTTTGGCTGCACAGCCGAACAGCCCTCTGGTCCTCTGGTCCTCTTAAGAGAAACTTCCATAAAGGGGACTATGAGCTAGCCTCCACCATGTTCGATGAGGTCAACTGGGAGGGTGTTTTAACCCCCCTGGATGTAGATGAGGCCTGGAATGTTTTTCTCAACAAATACCAGTCAACAATCGCCCAAACAGTACCCCTCTACTCCCATGCACGAAGAGGTCGTTACAAGAAAAAGTGGGTGACAAGGGAGGTTCTCCAGCAGGTTAAGCTGAAGGAAGACGCATGGTCGAAACTACGGAAGAACAGAAATTCTAAGAGACTGAGACAGCTATATGTCCAGGCAAGGAATACAGCCACCAAGACAGTGAGGAAAGCCAAGTACGATTTCGAACACAAGTTAGCAAATGAAATAAAATCCAACCCAAAGGCATTTTATGCATATGCTCGAAGCAAGACCTCAATCAAGGAAGACATACTGATGGTCAAGAAGCAAGATGGGAAACTGACAACGACACTAGAAGAAACATGTGAAGAGATGAATGAACAATTCCAGAAAGTATTCAACAAGACGGCTGGAGTATGTCCCCCAGGCCCTCCATTCCCTGCTGATGACAGACTTACGAGGTGTGAAATTGATGTTGATGATGTGTACAACATACTGACACAGCTGAACCCATCTGCGCCTAGCCCAGACGGGATCCATCCTGTTGTTCTAAAAAGCTGTGCTAGAAACTTGGCAGAACCACTGTCGATCATCTTTGGGAAGTCTCTGGCAGCAGGAAAGCTCCCCAGTGACTGGACAAAGGCCAATGTGACCCCGATTCACAAGAAAGGGAGACGCACCGAGCCACTTAACTACCGTCCAATAAGCTTGACCTCCGTCCCCTGCAAGGTGTTGGAGAGGCTGTTGAAGACAAGAATAGTGGAACACCTCGAACAACACAATATTATCACTCAGAACCAGCATGGCTTCAGGTCCAGGAGATCCTGTGTCACTCAACTTCTTGAGTATATGTTTGACCTGGAGAATGACCTCGATGATGGCTACTGCGTTGACGCTGTGTACCTGGATTGTCAAAAAGCGTTTGACTCGGTCCCACATCCGCAACTGCTTGTCAAGCTCAGGAGTGCTGGCATCGATGGAGAGATCCTGCAGTGGATTGATGACTTCCTGACGACTCGCAAGCAGAGAGTATGCGTTCGGGGCCATTGCTCTGGATGGAGAGCAGTGTGGAGCGGCGTCCCCCAAGGCAGCGTTCTCGGGCCAGTACTGTTCCTGGTGTACGTTAACGACCTTCTGGATGACCTACAATCACCAGGGAAATTGTTTGCAGATGATGCGAAAATCTACAGGAGCATCCAGTCTGCCGACGACCATTCCATCCTACAGGCTGACCTAATGAAGCTGGACCAATGGAGCAAGACTTGGCTGCTTACATTCAACCCCGAGAAATGCAAGGTCATGCACTTTGGTGACAGGAATATGAACCATGGGTACACGATGAAGGGAATTGCCTTGGCAACCACTGAACGAGAAAAGGACCTAGGAGTACTCCTGACACCAAGCCTGAAGCCGTCAGCACAAGTCGCACAAGTCGTGGCCGGAGCAAGTGCAATGCTGGGAAGAATCAAAAGAACATTCACCTGTATGGACCAAGAAATGTTCATGTCGCTCTATAAGTCCTTGGTGCGCCCCCGACTCGAGTACGCGGTACAAACCTGGAATCCATATCTGCAAAAAGATATAACGAAACTTGAGAAAATCCAGAGGAGAGCTACAAAGCTTGTGCCAGGCCTAGCGGACCTACCATATGAAGAGCGCCTAAGAAGACTGGACCTAACTACCCTACAGGAACGTCGGCACAGAGGCGACTTGATCCAAGTATTCAAGATACTAAAAGGCATTGACCTGGTGAACGCTGGCGACAAGTTTCTTGGACTGCAAGCAGGACCACACCGACACAGGACTCGTGGACACCCCCTCAAGTTAAGTAAACCGAGACACCGGACACACAAGCGGAACATGTTCTTCTCGTCCCGAGTCGTCGACAGCTGGAACAACCTGCCAGAAGATGTGGTCATGAGTCACACCATCAGTACATTTAAGAAGAAACTGGACCAACACATGTCGAAACAGTGAGAGAGGCAGCATCCTATGAGCAATCCTGCTCCCATGCCTCTTATCCAATCTACTAGGTGAGCATCTACTAGGTCAGTTGGGCAAACTGCAGGGAGGTAATCTAAATGTAGATTAATCAGAATTTAGATTATTCTATGCCCATATTTGGGCATTTGTGCAGTCCTCTGCAGAAACAGCTGTGTAGTGGCCAAGGAGTGACAGAATCACACCACTCTTTCACAAAGCACAGTTAACATCTCAAACTGCCTCTGAAGCACCAAAACAGCTCTGAGAAAAAATTTGGGGTTCCTGAAATATGATGGGGAACATAATCTAAATTAGGATTAAAAATCCAGCCTCAATGGGCGGATAATCTATATTCAGATTATGTCATCAGCTGACTAATCTTTATTTAGATTACACAATCAGCTGACTAATCTTAAATTAGATTACATTCAGCTGGCCTAATCTAAATTAAGATTACATATCTCGCATCCAAGAGGGTAGGCATAAAGTTTAAACCCTAGCATTATAATCTGACAGTATAAGGCGCTGGAACGTCACGTCCTGTGCAGGGAGATAGAGCCAGTCTAACGTAGAAAAGAAAAATACAGCACATTACCTGGCTTTCTGTAAGTATATTTAAGCTATTTTAGAAAATAAAACACAGAAATAAGCAATCAAAATTTGTTTTTATTTAAGCTCAAAAGCCTATTCAAGGTATATAATGCCATGTGAATGTGGAATACCAATGACCTGGCCTAACAACGATATCGTCCCACGACTTTTCCTGTAACACTTCCCGTAACTACGGAGGCTACTCAAGTTTTGGTATCCCTTGGGACCTACCGCACTTTATAAAGATAAAAACTACCTAACTTGTTTGATTTCCGCAATGATGTCATGTATTGCAGCCCTGTTGGGCTCTGACTGGGGTTCCGGGGCATGCAACTTTGAATAATTCATACTTTTGAGTTTCGTGTTAAAATACCCGTATAGCATTAAAAGCATTGAAAATATAAGCCAAAACTGCACCCCAAACCACAAACACACAGACTGTCATTTCAAGGAAAAATATAAATAATCAAAATTCAGAATTATTTCTGGAAATATGACACCATAATACAATGTTTACATTTTCAGAGAAGTGTCCCAGCAACTCATTTCTACTCTCTCAGACAAAGGTTTATAATGAATTGGCACCAACGATTCAGGATGTGTTGATTGATGTCCTAAGTTGTCAAAATTAACAAAAACATGCCATGCCTGACAATATTTTGTCAAAAAACTAGGTTGAAATGACTGGGGGTGCAGCTGAGTCACCTTCATAACAACACACTCACCGGTTTTGTACGCCAATAACGCATTAATGCCACACTTCTACCACCCAACTTTAATTTTGCTGGGTAAATAACATGTTACCATTATTTTGGTACCACTTTGGCACCATTCCATCGAAAAATACGGGCGGGAAAAAATTATTACCGAGAGGATACACGACGCCACGGACAGAGCTAGATCGCGGCCGTAAATCGCCGTAGCCGAAATGAAATAAATGCGTTGTATTATACGCATTTTTTCGTAGTGGGATTGAATAATTTAATATTTCTTATCTCAGAACTGCCAAAAAATCCTTTCTTAACATTTAATGAGTACCATAAAAAGGAGTAAAATGGATTAATGTATTTGCCCGTTCAGCGGTGACCTTCACTATTCACGTCATAACTCCCAAAGTCCAATCTCAAATGTGCTGGCCAGTTCGCAATCTGTAGGATCGGGTTTTGTCTGTCACTCAACAAAAAAATATCGTGGTTATGAGCAGTTCTTCGATGGTTATGAGGGGTTTGAATGAGGACACGTCGGAAATATAATCTAAATATTGATTATCGCTCCTTATATGGTCATCGCTCCGCCCATTTCGGTGACGTCATAATCTCAAATTAGATTAATCTTATTTTAGATTACCTCCCTGCAGTTTGCCCGACTGAGGTGAGCATCTGGCAAGTAGCAAATACCAGAGGTTGGTGGTAAGGATGCCAGATTTCAGGTAAATTGTATACAGTTATTTATTGTCAAGTAAGAAGTAGGGTTATGTAAGGTTTATTAACTAAATAAACCAAAAAGTAATCAGATTATATTACTTTGCATGCCAAATAACACATGCGACATTTGATGCGCAGAGCGACGGGTGCTTAAAAAGAATTTATTCACGCACCCTTATCTGAATAATCCCATAAGGAGGAGAAACTCACAAAGCAGGGCAGCAGGTATCCACAAGTGTAAATATCAAAAATATCAACGACGCCCCATTATCCAAGCAGTACCCAGCCCGATCGATCACTCGCCGTGTTTTTTTTCGCATTCAGTTTTTTTTCAAGATCAGCGAAATTCTGCCTTCACCCAAGTTTTTACTTGCGCCTTATTATGACGTCATTAATAAGATATGATCGATTAGAGATCTTCAATATATCTTTAAACTATTTCAGTGTACGGTGGTGTGGTACATAATGCACCAATAATGATAAGTAGCCTACCCCGCCTACCCTACGAAATAATGAGGTGCGAAATGCATTGCGGTCTGCACTTTCTTCTTTAAATTCATTCATTAGTCAACAATCATATGATTTTTTTTTAAAGCATTCATATTTCTTGTCCGTCCATCTAGCTGCAACACACTGAAATTCGCGAATCTGCTGATGGCAGCCAGACATTCGATCGGGCCGAATATGTTGCCGTATATGCTGCTACCTGCTTTGGCAGTGGATTCGCCGGACGTCTATCTACCAGCACCAGAGGCAGATTCAGAAATTCGCCAGCCCAGCCTCGAATCTGCTGCTATGACAGCAGATTCGCCGAATGTCGGTCTGCCAGCAGCAGATACAGAAATTATCCGACCCTAAATATGCGACCACTGGCAGCGGATTTGCCGAATGTCTGTCTGCTAGCAGCAGATTCGGGATGTGATGCAGTGGAGACGCACGGCAGCATGTCCGTGAATCTGCTGGTCGTATTTCCAACTATCCCAGCCATGAGTTTCTTGTGCTGAAGAGTGAAGGTCATGAACCTTGAACCTTGAGTCTGATTGAAGTGCCATTTATTTGAGGTCGTGGGCCGTTACCGATCTGCGTTCACCCGCTCCAGATGCCAGTGGTGACTGGTGATAAGCAGACGGTTACTCCAGATCCATTCCGCAAACACCGCGGCACCGCGAACAGTCTTGAGCTTTGCACCCGCAGCCGTTTTGGACCTGACCTACCACCTTGCCCATATTATCATACAGAAGACGGTGGATTCAGACAAGGCTATGTAGACCGATACGGGTTAGAACGTCTATGGCCAATGCAGTCCGGGCGCATCTCCTCGCCATCATCGGAAGGTTACAAAGAACTTAGCACAAACATGTCAGAAGGTAAAGTTTATTCACAGGCCTCAGCATTCACCTCGAGCTTCAACAGTTTCTTTACAAACGCAAGACGTGCACCACGACTGATTCTCAACGTTTGCGTCTAACCTGGCCCCACTTCCCGCCACACAATGCTGAATCTAAATCTGTAACGAGCGTGCATTGACACAATGCATGTGGAAAACTGACCAGCAATCAATGCCTACGCGCAAAGGATAAAGTATGTACAGTCTGTCTTAAAAGTACCGCGCAAAGTGACGGTGGATCCATCGAGCCTGACTGAGCAAGGGCCTGCTAAATTTGGGTCACCGAAGCAACTGACATCCTTGTCCATTCCCTAGGTCAATTGGTCGGTGACTTTTAAATTAAAACAGGCCCTTTCTCGGTCAGGCTTGATGGATCCACCGCCACTTTGCGCGGTACTTTTAAGACAGACTGTACATAAAATTTACGACAATTCGACGGCCCAGTACTGCAGACTGCGTTTACACTCTTTACATAGCATGCATCATAAGAAAGACTTACAAGCAACTAAGATCAACAAACATTCGAAAATACAGCCACTACGAGTAAGTGCAGCTCGTTGATTTCAACTATACGTTACCGAGCTGCTTCGCTCGGTACTTAAATTAGCTTAGTGCTACGTGGCAGCATCCATGAACCTTTCGCTCCAGAAACAAAACTCAAAGCACCTCTGTGCGGGGGAGTAATCATGGCCTCTCCAATCCTCGCTCCTAGTCCGCGGCCCGTCGCCGTCATCGGCACCCTGACCCACCCGTGGCCGTGGCCGTCATCAACACCCATCCGTCGCCGTCATCGGCACCCAGCCGTCGGCCGTCTAGCGGTATTCGGGCCTGACTGGCGCCGTGTCCTGGCGGCTGAGCGGTGCCGGCGGCGCCTGCTCGGCCAGCACCGAGCGCCGGTAGCGCAGCAGTGACTCGCGCGCCTCCACCAGGTATCGGTACATCGCCGGGTCGTCCGCCTGCCAACAGAGTAACACAGTCAGAACAGCCGCCACTAGAAACGTATCCGCACCGGAGACAAGGTGGGGACAATCCATACAGAGCAAAAATGTCTCACTCTTCAGGGTCATGACTGAACAACCCAATAAGTATTTATCTATCAATAAGTACAAGAGTTACTGAAACCAAGTTATCAATAAGTATAAGAGATTTCTAGATTCATTGCATGGCTTAAAATAACAAAAGACGACCGAAAAACGAAGTACATACATTCTAAATACACTCGACAAGAAAACAAAGCAACGCACTAACACCCCCCCCCCCCCCATTCAGTGGTGAGCCTAAGGCGTTATCGTTATCACTCGTTATCAGTCGTCAATTGGGCATATTCCACATGCTATCGCGCGTCGGCCGGGTCCCACAGCTCTGAGCCGTCCGGCGCGGCGCGCCCACGTACCACCACGTAGAGCTGCTGCTGGCCGTTGGAGGGTCGCGGCGGGGACGGCTCGCGGCGCGGCCGTTTGCTCGCCTTGGGCTGCGCCTGCTCGGAGCCCTTGCGCTTCTCGTCGGCGCGCCAGTCGCGGTGGGGGCAGCGGCACACCTTCACCTCGATGGCCTGTCTGCCGAGTGTGCGGCCCGAGGCGCGCTCCTCCAGCGTCAGCACCAGCATCAGCCGCCGACGGTTGATGCCGCCCACGCAGGTGTTCATACAGGCGAACTTGAAGAGCACCTGGTAGTCGTCGGTGCCGGGCTCGGGCGCCTCCAGCGGCACGGTGACGCTGCACCGCTCCTGCTCCACGTGGTAGCTGTCGGCGACAGACAGGAGCCGGTCAGAGCTCACATCTCAGCAAATGACCACAGTTTACAACACGCTCAGAAGAAAAAAATAACGAAGAAAATATTTAAGTGCTACAAACAATGCTGAGAGAGCTTATCAACAAAATCAATATATTGGGAAAATATTTCCTATTTATTCGGTGGTATGCTTAAAGAATGAGACGCCAGCTAGACAAAAAGAAAATATCATATGACGAGCTTCCACCTGCCGGTTGGTACTAAATAATAATTGCATGAGCCAAGTGTTTGTATAATGCATTACCAACCTGGCGTGGTGGTGATCGGCCCGCACCACGTGCATCATGTGTCCGGTGTCGTTGGACGGATCCTGCGGCTCGCGGTGGATGGCGCACCGGCGTACCGGCGTCTGGATGTGGTGGGACTCGCGGTAGATGGGCAGCGCGCGGATGCGCAGCGCGCTCGGGTCGGCCACACCGCTGTAGGTGAAGCTGAACGGCACGGCCACCATCATGTCGGTGTACAGCTTCGCGCCGTCGGCGCTGTAGACGTAGGGCAGCTGGCGGCCGGCCTGCTCGGGCCGCCGGCGCACCGTCACCTGGAACTGATGCACGCCCGGCCAGCCGTCCAACACCGGCACAGAGTTGGCCACCGGCTGCACCGACACCTGCTTCTGCGCCGGCGGCGTGGGCTCCTCCTTCACCTCGGCCGGCGCCGGCTGAAACGGCAGCGGGAGGTGGCCGATCAGGCGCGCTGCACAGAGGGGAGTGACAGTGAGAGCGCTTCAAACCGCCCCCTAATGGGCGCGGGCGGGGGGTTGAACACCTCTCTTGCGTTTTTTGCAAATATCTCAAAACAGCGGCGCTTTCTGCACATTCTGTGAAAATTTCAGACCAAGGTCACTCAGGGTCAGGTCACCAGGTCACGCCAAGTGACCTCACATCATTAAAAGTTTAAATGCCTGCTACAGCTACATCGAGAGACCGATCACTTTGAAACTTTCAGCAATTGCTAAGAGCAGTATTACGTACGAAATGTACAACTCGGAAGTTTCATATCTGTATATCTCGGAAGTTTCATATCGGTGCCTAAGGTCAACTCAATTTTGTGACCTCTCAATTGTAAATTAATGGAAGAAAGTTGAAAGGAGCCTCTTTTGGACGAACATCATTCGAAACACTTTCAAACATTGAACTACAAGTAAGCATGACACACTGAACCGGAAATGGTAACCGTGACCCCTTGTTTTGTCCCTGAGATCATCTCATGACAAATAATATCTAGCCGTTTTTCGCTAATAACTTTTGATAGAGGCTTGCTAGAGCGTTAAAAATGTCTTAGGTGTGTTCAGCTCGACGATACAGATCGACTGATATGCAACATGTTACATGACCTTTCCCGGTCAGGTCATGACTTGGACCTGAGATCACCATCACGTTAATTAAGAAAAAAGATCATTTAAATTGACCTTGCAAAGTCAAATCATAACTTAAAGGGACTCTCCTACCTTCAAAAAGTTAATGAATTGGCATGAAAGTGATGTCGCTCGGTTTAGAAAGAGCGAAAACGAATATCTACCAAATTTCACCGAAAAATATTCACCGGTTTTCAAGAGATTAGACTCTCACTTTTGTTTACTTTTTGGGATCGCCGCTGTTCCTAGCGACTTTATTTGGAAGCAGTAGTTTGGCAGCTGAAAGTGCGGCACTTGTTGCGCGCAAAGCAGCATATACCACCGCGGAATGACCGCGGTGCTAGCAAACGTTTTAGTAAAATATTTAAAATCGTTAGATCTGCGCTGACGTCACACATTCAGAGGGGGCATTCAAATGCATTAGCCCCCTTTAATCCAAAGTGCTGCAACTTTGAAATTAGATATTTTCGATTTGAGGCATTTCTCGATGTTGTGAGTGCTCAAACCGGTAAGTGTAAGCCAGGGACCCCATTTTGGCTATCTCAACTCAAAACTAATGTTCAAGTGGGATGGTCACTTTAATCGACGCGTCTCGACAAGAGGAACACGATGCCAGTAAAAGTTAGCTCGTGCAAATTTTGACTTAAAAGTTGTTGCAGGAAAACTTTCCGCAAAAAACAATTTGGCAGTTTTTGCCCTCTGCAGGCTCAACTGTTGACCTTAGTTCAAATCTGAGGAGAGCCTACAGAAAGAGTGTTCAAAGAGCTATCGAATGCGCTATTCTGCAGCGCTACAGCTCTATTCGTTTCCGAGTTATGCGCCGGTTTGTTGAACACTGTCGAAATTGAATTGAAAATTGGCGGTTTTTTACCTTCGATGACCTCTTATGACTTAACCTTTTACCTGAACTAAAAAAAGACCGAAGTTATTTCGTCATTATTTTTGGTGCTCATAGAACACCACCTGCGGCGTGTCGCTACGTGACCCGGGAGCTAAGTTAGAAAAAGGGTGTTACTGTTCAATCCCCCCCCCCCCCCCAGGGCGTGAAATCCAAGAGCCCAAGCGGGGCGCGGGCTAAAGGCAGACGGGCCTAGCGCTCGGGTTTCGATAGGTAGGCGGTTGAAAAGTGTCACAGCTCGACAACTAAAGGCTCGCTGTCCGGTCACGGTTCGGAAAGTCGGCGGCCGAAGACGCCCGTCCCGTCGTGTCTAGTCTGACAGTCACAACTGCGCACGTCGGAAAAGCGCTGAAAAAGTGAGGTGAAGGCCCTAGGCCTATATATTGTGAGGTCAGTTCGGAAGGTTTTCCACTGATGAGTATCTTGTGAGCTGCAGTATAGGTATATAAATCACACTTTTGACACGACACCATAAAACACAACTGATTTTGCGCACGAGAGATGTGATCACATTTTTAAAGACCGGTCACTTAACGTGCGGCAAAATTCCCGACCTCCAGCATCCCAGTATCGTTCGCCGCTGATCCGTTCCCGACCCCGTAAGCCGTGATACAGTAAGATACTTGGGACCAGGGCTGCGGAGTCGATGGATTTACGGCGACTCCGACTCCGACTCCGGCTTTCAAAAACCAACTCCGACTCCGACTCCGACTCCGGGCAGAAATGTCGAATCCGATTGACTCCAACTCCCGACTCCGACTCCGCACACCTGGCAGGGCTGCGGAGTGCGGAGTCGACAGATTTTCGGTGACTCCGACTCCGACTCCGGCTGGGGTTTCCAATATCGACTCCGACTCCGACTCCGACTCCGGTCACAACTGTCGACTCCGACCGACTCCGACTCCGACTCCGACTCCGCTGCCCTGCTTGGGACACCAAATAACTCTGAACTATTGAGAGCAGCAGAGCCTGCAGCCATTGGCTAGAATTTGGAATGCATGATTAGCAATCTCTACGCACGCAGTCACTAGAAAAGCTGAACATATCTGATTGAAGAGATTGGCATGAACACACCTATGGGAGTTGCATGTTTCTCACCTCCAATTCCGACAGCTGGTGCTCCTTCAGTGGGTGCTCTACAGGATCCATGTAGCTGTCCCAGTCTTGTGACAGATTCTGAAATCCGATGTCGACCTTGACCTGCTCCAGGACCTCATCATCCGAAGAGAACAGCAGAAGACTGCTGTCCAATGATGAGGTCATCGCTGAAACACAAACAAATGCAGCATTATCCTATGGTACTACAAACATCACATACCTATTCCTAGTTGCTAGGATGAATGGAGCTAGCAATTAAGCCCAAAAAAAACATCGTAAATTTTACAAAACACTTCTTTTGAAGGAGATGAATTGAATAGTTTTGGAGCCTCACGAAACAAGTTTCAAATATTACGCGTCACACAAACTGACGCATAAAAACTGTGTTCAAAAGTGTGAGCGGCAGCTCCGCAAGCACTTGTTGACGAATGAAAAGCGTAGGTACTGCCCGGTCGCCGTAGCAACAAGTAAGCGTCACAATTTTCGAACACCCTTAGTGCGCCAAGTTCAACTACATCGAGGACGATGGGTGATGGGTGCCAGCTGATTAAATTAATGAAACGCGAATAAATTCAACTTTTGTTTGAGATTGCGAGTAAAAATGTGTTTGCTAATTTCAAAGATCATTGAATTCGTTTTTGTAAATAAATTAACTACAAAGCCTCTGTGCAAAGTGTCGGACCGTACACAGCCTCCAAACTCCGCCCACTGCGTCCCTACGTCAGCCTTACGTCACCGCACACAGCGACCGCTGTTGCAAGGCCCTATATAGAGCTGTTGCCGGTCGGGACAGGCCACAGCGGACCGTCCACCGCATGCAGCCGTGACGTCAGAACCGCCTACCCATCCCCTACCCCCACGCCTGCTGCACACACCGCACACACCGCACTCAGCAGTTTGCGGTGGCCGTGAACACCCCTCTGCAGTGTCCCAAAATTATATTTTGGCTTGGGTGTCGGAGGGGAATATTCGTCACTACGAAGAGGGCTGAGTGGAAAATTGCCAGTCAGAAAGGCACTAAAAAGAGTTGAAAACAGGGATCAACAATTTATTTGTGAATGTTAGAGGATGCGGGAGCTGCCTTATAAGATGACTGAATCAAATATGGAGTGAGGTAAAAGGTACACACAGATGCTCCTAACTGGTAAGACAGGGAGTGAAAAATCGCTGTGGAAAATTGGCGGGGAGAGTGGAAAATTATTTTGATTTGGATGTCGTTTCCCACCTAAACTGGTATATTTTGGGACACTGCCCCTCTGAAATCTCTCCAGGGGGCACGATACCCCGGTGCCCTCCCCGTTCCCCCGCCTATGTGATACATAATTGGCATAGGCAAGGCTACCTGTACCTGTGGCGCATGAAGCCATGCCGTGTGTAGCTCCTAGGGCTGTTCGGCTGTGTAGCCAAAATGAAATATGCTGCAGCACGCATGCACAGTAAGGGCTACGCAGCCCGTTAGTCCCGCCCACACAACTACGTCATCGCCTGTGTGACGTCACCTACTGAAGCACACTTCGTTTTCCTGCAGCCAGAAATTAGGTGCTACAGGAGACGAAAGTGGCGCGGATTAAAATTTACAGTCCAATATTTCTTATTGTAAGCGGTTTGTATGCTGTTTTTTCGGGTGTCATTACCGTTTTCAGTGACACATTGCTATTAACCACATTTGAACGCAATTTAACCGTTATTTGGGCGACAATCACCAGTCCACCCATGCAACGGTTCACCACGGGTGAAATAGGCTGCAGTGACGCTTGACCTCTGTGTGCCGGCGGAGAGTGGGCAGAACCAGGCGCCCGACGTCACCCAAGTCTGACGCACGCAGCACAGATCTCTGCTGCTGGGACCTGAACAGAACAGCCCTCAGGTATGACTAATAGTTTATACTGTAACTGATACAGGAGAACATGAAAATTTATTTTGGAGACTAGTACATCAAATTTCAGCGTTTTGTAGTCCTTTTCTAAGAAATCTGACAAGGAGAATACGAATGAGGCATCAAAGTCATTTGCAGGCGGTTCGTAGGTAAGGTACCCATCTAAAAGGTCGCCGTCAAAGCCCAAAGGTCTTTTTATCTTGCCTGATATGACCCATTGCACGTTCCGAGGCATTGCGAATATACTTATCAGATATCATGCAGAACTAGAAACAGGCTCGAGTCTGAGTCGGCATGGAAGCTGTGGCGCACCTCAAGCGTGGCGATCTTTAGACGACGATCATGAAACATGCTTCTTCATGAATCAATTTGAATTGTTGTTATGTAATGAATGATAAATTGATGATGAATCAGTAAACTATCGAAACCTACAACTTACCATTGGATTTCTGGATGCAAGCGGCAGCCGTCAACAAGTTGAATCACGTTGATTGTAAACGTTTCGATGCCAAAAGGAATGCACTCAAAGATGCCTGAATCGCTACGAGAAATCGCTGCAAGTCTCTGTCTTTGGTCTGATGACATCATCAAATACCTGCAAAAGACTTTTCGCTTAGCAAAATAAGACAACCTTTCCAAAATTAGTTTTGTGGTTTTGCAACATTGTTATCATTCAAATATTATTATTTTTAGATGTAACAAATTTGAAAAAATAACTCTTTGCCGAGATTGAAAGCGTAAAACAAATAGAAAGCCTGGTAAGTCTTATGACATCATTAGAATCTGTTTTAAGTTTGTTCAAAGTTTCCTCCTTATCATGTTACGTCATCCCTGTGACGTCATACTTACGGGGCGAGTGGGGAATTCCCCCGGGGCCCTATTTCACACTATATCCAAGGCCACTATATCATAGTGTGATATATGGCCTTGGTTTCACCGATAGCAGCACGCTGCTATTTCATTTCGCGAGGTGTTTTTGGAATAGGCTTGTTGACGTCTCCATGGAAACCCAATTTGACACGTGTAATAGCAGCGTGCTGCTATCACCGGCGAAACAGGGCCGGGGCCAAAGCCGGAATCATATAGGCGCGGGAGCCGGGGGGGGGGGGGCAGTGGGGGCAGCTTGCCCCCCCCCCAACTCTGGGGCCGTGGGGGCATGATGGCCCCACAGCTTTGAGACGGAATACCACACTTTTTTGCAAATGTTTTCTTTTTTGTTGAAAAAGCAATGGATGGGATGAAAAATAAGTGGCCTAAAACCGGTGAGAAAACTAGATTTGGGGGTACCCTAGGTTGATCTCTATTATGGTGTGCCCCCCCCCCCCCCAGTCTGAACGTAGTTCCCGCGCCCCTGGCCGGAATCCTTGCCGGAATCGGCGTGGTGCGTTTTGATGGGACGGGTGGAGTACGAGGTAATTTTTGGCCGAGGGCTGCTGACCGAGGATCATTTGGGGGACATGACATGACCTCAGATGCCCTTTATTCGCCAATATTGTATCACCCTTGGTGTATGTCTACGCCAACCTTTCTTTAATCGCCATCCTTACTATATGATGATCGGCATAGACCGCAGCGGAGAAGTCTCTAGCTCGATGCGCATCAGAGCAGGGTATCATCAGAGGCTCCGCCGTCATGGCTTTCGACACTTGATCGACATTCGACGGCGCTTGCCGCCAGTAGCGGCGGAACACCTTGGGGGGGGGGGGGGGAGGGCAGAGGGGGGGAGGCACTGCCGACTTTTGGTCCCATTCTTTCCATGCAACGCCCATAGGGCTGATGTTAAAATGCCAAAATCAAAGGGGGCACGGGGCCCCGGTGCCCTCCCCGTTCCGCCGCCTATGCTTGCCGCTTGTGCTTTACTAGCAACATGCAGTTGGAATTCGCCAACATTATGGTTCTCTTCACTCAAAGCAGCACAAGCCGGAGTTCTTTAGTGTATTGTTCATAATCCAGGAACGTTATACACTTCGGATGTCACGTAAACCATATCACATTTGTACAAAAATTCGCCTGCGCAGATGCGCTTGGTCGGCCACACATTGAAGAGGTGAACACTCCCAGGTACTTGAACGGCTCGTCTGGCACTTTGATATCGGACTGCGGACACCGCGCAATAATGGACAAATGGCACCCGTTCAGATAAGACGGCACGCTGTGCCAACTGTGGCGCCGTTTGATTTTCGATATTTCACGATGAGGATGGCTGTCGGATTCGGAGGCGGTCGGGGGAGCGCGGCACTGGTACACGCTGGGAGCGCGGCAGACAGTACAAACAACACGAGGACGAGCCACAGCCCTGTCAGATCATCCAGTGGTCCGGCCAACCCGCCGGAACATCCGCGGCCACACGGCGCGCCGGGCTGGGCCTGCGCGCCACGGCCTGACCGCTCGGACGGCACAGCTCACTGTAAGCTCGGTCAACACTCCGAATGCCCGCCGCACGCAATAGGAACTAGCCCATGCGACGCGTCCTTAAGAGTAAATTCGCATTTAACACATCTATAAACCAATTACGACGGTAGCAAAACCAATACATCTCTACAACTTAAATATTAATCACAAGCGTCAGTGATTAAAACATCCGTGTAAAAGGCATACTACTTACCAAACCACATGATTTCCTATATGTAAATGTCAGTAAAAACTAACAAAGCATGATAGGGATAAAACAATCAAATGTGGGACACGTATGGTGCTAAATAGTAAATACTAATCCGAATTCCGGTCATATAAACCATCACACTGATTGAAGATCCATCAAAACGTTCAAAACACGCTCTGTGTAGAGGCAGCGGCGGCGCCATTCCGAAGATGCTACCCCACTGAGCCTCGGCGGCCCAAACGGCGGTTAAAAGCGGCCCTCCCACGCATCGTCCCGCTGCTTGTTGGCCAGACGCTTCTTATCTGCGGACATACAGGAGACTGGTCAGACCGTGGGGGATTCAATTGGCACGAAAAACAGCCCACCAAATCGACACAGGATGGGCACAATGCAAAACCTGGCACGCGTGCTGACCGCGAGACTAGTGATACCAGCCGCAGTCTCACCCTTCCCGTCCCGGTCTCTGCCAGTTCGTCACAGCTCCCTCCCTGCTCGTCACAGTCCCTCCCGACTTCCTCCCTGCTCGTCAAAGTCCCTCCCGACTTCCTCCCTGCTCGTCACAGTCCCTCCCGACTTCCTCCCTGCTCGTCACAGTCCCTCCAGACTTCCTCCCTGCTCGTCACAGTCTCTCCCGACTTCCTCCCTGCTCGTCAAAGTCCCTCCCGACTTCCTCCCTGCTCGTCACAGTCCCTCCCGACTTCCTCCCTGCTCGTCACAGTCCCTCCCGACTTCCTCCCTGCTCGTCAGTCCCTCTCGGCTAACTCTCTGATCGTCACAGTTCCCTGTGCGGCACTGCCGTCCCGCGGCGCACCTTTAGCGTCACGCAGTTTGCGCTGCTCCTGGTCGCGGCGCTGTCGAGCGCGGCCGTCACCGGGCGCGTGCACGCCCAGGGCGGTGGCCACCATTCGGCCGGCGTGCAGCGCCGAGGTCTCCGGCCGCGCCCGGTGCGGCAGCTGCGCGTTGGCCGGCACCGCCGCCTTCTGCCGAGAGCGGGCCGTCGCCTTCGAGAGCGGCCGGCTCAGCAGCATCGGGTGGCACAGGCGCAGCGCCTCGGCCGCTGTCCAGGGGAAAGATAGCGGGGGAGGGGACGGGCGGTTAGCAGCACTCTGGAACCGTTCAATAGTAGAACGGAGCTGACGGAACCGCACCCGTGCAACGGGGCTGATAATGACAGGGAGACATGCCCAGCGGCACGAGCCAGCTGGTCCAACTGGACTACGATGCACACTAGGCATGGCTATGTTCCAGTGGCAAATTAAAAAAAAAAATATCAGCGGAGGTTGGATGAGCTTCGAGGTAAGCCGAACTAGAGGAGTCACGGGAACGTTTCTGCGAGGAAATCAGCTGTTTGCGGGCTCTTGGATGGCGATTTATGGTGCGCCATAATTCATTTTGAGATCAGCATTGCTTTCAAATAAAAAATATGAATAAATATTGACAATTACTATCCAAAAATTTCTTATCTTCCTCAGTCCCTACAATCATATCCTTGTCGCTCAAATCTAACGTACAAACAATTTGTTCGAATAACGTGCGCCAATATGTCTACGCAGAGCCTCATCCATAAATCCAACTTTCGTTTGGGATGAGGGTGGAGGCAAATAGTGGTGGTGAGATGTGGAATCGGGATGAGCTTAGAGGAGCTTGGAGGAGGGACGGGAACAATTTTTTGGAACCAGAGGAGGTTGGAGGAGCTTAGAGGAGGTTGGAGGAGCCACTGGAACATACCCAATGTCTATCGTTAGTCAGATGCACAGCAAATAGACGAACAATCGGCCTTAAAAAGCGAATGGAGTGAAAGTCGCGCTATTCGTATCTAATTTAACAGTGACAACTTTATGAGCGATGATTTAAAGGTAGTGTGCCAGCTTTCCTGGACCGTATGGAGTTAATGGCCCAGATAAGGAGAACCGGATTTTTAGAACTTATCCATACCTTCAAAACTCATGGAAACGTCTTAAATTCTTCAAATTTTGAGTACCCCAGTGCGAAATTCGCCCCGACGGGTTGTCGGTCGTACCCCAACCACATTTCACACCAGACATGTGCACGGATCTGAGACAACCAATCACGAAAATCGAGCTGATCATTAGATTGGCAGTCTTCAAGCATGCAATTATGGTGGAAAACATGGCTAATAGAAGCCTCTCAACGATCCAACTATTTTGCATGCCTTCAGAGTTTACAGTTCTGAGAAAAACGACAAAGATCCATCTCGGATCCATGAGCCAGGATTATGGATCCGAGATGGATCTTTGTCGTTTTTCTCAGAACTGTAAACTCTGAAGGCATGCAAAATAGTTGGATCGTTGAGAGGCTTCTATTAGCCATGTTTTCCACCATAATTGCATGCTTGAAGACTGCCAATCTAATGATCAGCTCGATTTTCGTGATTGGCTGTCTCAGATCCGTGCACATGTCTGTTTCACACCACTATGAACAATAAATGCACACACTGAAATCGCTATTACCGATATGCTCATCCAATCAAGTTTCGATAAACCCGTTCATCATCATCTCCTGCGGTTTCGAACACGCCTGTTAGGTGGTGCGGTAGACCGCGCCCAAAGCCAGGGCCCCGGTAACGTGAGGTAGCCGAGTCGGGGCAGCGTGCGCTGACCCAAGCCGGGGCCGCGCGTCCTCCCGGTGTCATGTGATAGCCCGGGGCTGCCCGCGGGGATGCGGTAGACCGCGCCCAAAGCTGCGGCCCCGGCTTGGGTCAGCGCACGCTGCCCCGACTCGGCTACCTCACGTTACCGGGGCCCTGGCTTTGGGCGCGGCTTCTGCTCATACTTTGTGGTGCGGTGGTGGTGCGTCGGGCCGCGCGCTCTGACTTCGGCCAAGAAAAATGCGTCAGCTGATCATTGTCATTTCTGCCACTTGCGTGTGGTGAAATGGGGTCATAACTTAAGAGACGGCTTTTTCATATCAATTATTTTACATAAAATCATATTTCAAACCATAAATAATGTTCGACAGCCAAATAAAAGAAACAATACCAATACAGGCTTACAGTTTAAGGCTCGACATTGTGTTGTCTACGATTAGACAGCTGATAACTCATTCCCGTACGTCGTAACTCTATAATGACCTTTGCTTATTGTCACATGTGCGCCGCATTCGCGATTGTTGCCGACGCCTGTTTGCAGGTCAGCCCACTACAGTTGTTATACATATCGAAAAACCGATAAACTTTTAGGCGAAAAAGGCACTATTCCAGGCCCATTTTTGATTTTCTTTGCGATATTAGGTAAAAACAGAAGCTTCTTATCCTAGGAAAAATAAAATGGGAAATCTTTCAAAGGTGGCACACTACCTTTAACGCAGCTCTTCACTACAATCCAGCCACCGAACCTGTCACATTTTGCAAGACTACATACACCATGCCAAGTCAATGCCGTCAAAGGTATCCTATATAGCCGTTTCCTAACGCGCAAAAAGCATAGCATACGGCCTGCACGACAGCTACCTCGCAGTAATTCGTCTGAGCGCCGGGCCCGGTAGGCGGATGGCCGCGCCGCGGTCGGACTGGTCGGACTCACCACACGCGGCGCTGGAGAACACGCCCAGCGCGTGCCGGTCGTCCACTGGCCGCACATCGAACCCACTCTTCACAAAGTCGGCGAACACCACGTTGAAGTCCTGCTTGCTGAAGCCAGACGGGAAGTTGTAGAGCTCGATGACGTGAGCGGGCAGGGACGGGTCTGACGGCGGCTCGTCGCCGACCTCGGGCCTGTCGGGACGGCGGGACCGGCCGCCGCCACCGCCGGCAGACGGTCGCCGCTTCACCGGACTGGCCGGCGCCTGGTGACAGGTCGGATACGGGTCAGACACGGGTCACATCGTCATTGGAGTAAGTGGTGAAAGAAAGAGGCAGGCAATACAAACAGACTTGACGTTAGTGCAGTGCAGACTAGTAGTGGTACACCTTTTCTTTAGAGCTATAATTTGCACTTTCCCTACGTGATCAAGGTCAACAAGCAGACTAAATGTGTTCGCTGAATAGGAAGTAGCTAACTGAATAACACGGAAAATAGTATGTATCCCATTATTTTTCGGAAATGACTCGCTCACGATGTCACAGGAAAATTGCTCCTTCGCACGATATAAACCCGTTACATGACAAATCCGTACAGGCCGGACAATACATCTCTGTCCCGAATCGCTAATCCTAAGCCCCTAACAAAGCCTGGCCTCCGTCCACCGCCGACAGCGGACATACCCACCTTGTGCTCCGAGTCCGCGGCCTCTCCGTCGTCGTTGAAGCGCCGCTCCCACTCGTCGACCTCGTCGGCCCAGTCGAACGGCTCGTCCAGACTCAGATTGAAGAGGCCGCTGAACGAGGCGGACGAGCGGCGCCGCGTCCGCTCCGGCGCCGGCGGCTCCGCAGAGGCCGGCCGCTCGGCCGCGCGACAGCCGGCCGGTTCCGGACCCTCGGCGTCCACAGCAGCGGGTACGGAGTCCGGGGCGGGCGCTACGGGCGCTGGGTCGGCGGGAGGAGCGGACGGGGGCTCCGGCGGTGAATTCATCACTTGAGAGGAATCTGGGTGGCTAGGCGGCGTCCGTTCTTCTGCGCTGGTGGCAAGAGGTGGCGCACGTGACACTGCCGACTGTTGTGTCACTGTTGCCGCTGAAGCGACGCCTTCTAGTGGTGACGATGTGGCCGGCGGGGATTGAGAGACGGCGGGCTGGGAGCCGGCCGACCCGGCACTGATGTGACCCGGTCCTCCCCCACTCCGCTCCGGAGATTGTCGAACAATGGCGCCCTGGACGTGGTGCGGCGACACATCACACCCAGACTTATTGGATATACCAGCAGGAGAGGGTCCCACGATAACCTTAGAAGGCGTCGGCGTCGGGCCACGCTCGTTATCCGCAGAGTCCGCCCAGCCGCGCTCTTTGGACCGGGCGCTGTGAGGGCGCCGCAGCGCCGCCTTGACCTCGTCCGACTGGGGCAGGACAGCGGCGGCCGGGCCGGGCGAGGTGGGCTGGCGTTCCCGCGGCCGGCCCCTGCCCCGTCCGCGGCCGCCGCCCAGCGTCACCTTCTCGTCGTCGGTGGTGTTGACCAGCTGTCCGAGGCTGTCGGTGCGCGCCAGCAGCGGGCTCGGCCGCACGCCCAGGTGGGCCATCACGTCTGTGGGCGACTGGGGCTCGCTGAGGGCGGGCGCGCGGCCGGCCGGTGACCCCGGCGCCAGCGGTGCGGACCCGGCGCCCTCCAGCTGCAGACTGGCGATCAGATCGGTGGGCGACATGGAGCGGCGGTCGGGCGCCGGTGATGGAGCCGCGGCGCCGCTGTCGCGGCCGCGCCGCCGGCGCCGCGAGCTGCCACGCCTTCCCAGTGAGGCTGTGCTGCCTGGCTCGTCCCCGGCGGGCGGTCGCCGCGGCGGGCCGCCCAGCGGCGGCGGCGCGGGACTCGGCCGGGAGTACGCCGCAGTCGGTGCCGGCGAGGCGACTCTCTGAGGCGTGTGGACGCCCCGGCCGCGTCCGCCGCCCGGCGGCTGGTGCGCCGGACTGGGCCGGTCCAGCTCGGGGCGCGGCGCCGCCGCCAGAGGAGCTGGACTCTCGCCGTCCCGCCGCGCCGGCGGCACATACACCTGCTGGAACCGGGGCCGGGCCGGGCCGCGCGGTGACGACGGGCGCGGCGGCTGGCCGCCGTCCCACGAGTCGCGGTGGTCGCGCCGCCAGGGCGCGTGTGACGGTGACATCGGCTCGGCGGCGCTGGCCGGCCGGTCCTCGGACTTGGAGCGCGAGCGGCGCCCGCTGCGCCGCCGCCGTCGGCCGGAGCGTTTGCGGGGCGACCCGGCGGGCTCTACACTGCCCTGTCGACTGGACGGCCGCGACTGACTCAGACTGTCGCCGCTCTGTCGCCACGCCCCGCCGCCGCCGCCGCCGCCGTCACTGGCCTGCTGCGAGAGTCGCCGCCGCGGGCCGGTCGGCGGACGGGCCGCGCTCGGGCTCAGCGGGCCCGGCGAGGAGGCGCGCGGCGGCGTGGCGCGCGCCCGCCACGAGGTGACTATCTCCGAGCAAATGGACAGGCCGGGTGACGAGGCGCGGTTGAAGCCGCTGCTGGCGCCGCCCTGCCGGTGTCGCGGCGGCACGTACAGCTGCTGCGGCGGACGGCGCTCGCGCCCTGGGCCCGGCTCGGCCGAGCGGCGCGCTCCGCCACCGAACGGCGACTGCCGAGGCCGGCCGGCCGTCTCCGCGCCCGGGCCGGCACCGCTGGCGTAAAACACGCGCGACGTTGACATCCTTTGTCAGCTCTTCAGTTCCTTCGAAAAGATACACAACTGTGAGACTTGTCAATGCTTCTCAAATCTCATGTGTGATATGTCTTGATTTTTTTATCATTAGATCTTTGATAAACCACAATCTCCATGCACTTGTTAGGCTTCAGCCAGCCAATGGTGATATCTGAAGAGAAAATTTTACAGTAATTACTAATTACTGCTGATGGGAGCAACACGACATCTGCTGTGGTTACTTACAACTTCACTATCATTCATGGCAAGAATCTGCAAAGGAATCATCACCCATCTGCCTTTTTTGGTGATTGGGACACCTTCAAATTTCAATGCATTCTCAGCTCCTGTTTTTGCTTAGTTTTCCATAACTCAACTGTAGGTATTCATAATCATAATAAATCATCCTTCCAAGGGAAAAATTTTGAGTTCCTGATCCTGGTGAGAAAGAAATTGAAATGAAAAGGATACAAATAACGAAAATATTGTGAAATTATATGCAAATCGCAAAATTCACATTACACATAGCCAAATTGCAAAACATGGCAGCACAGTTGACATCAAACAAGGCCTGAAACTTGAAGGTACAGCCCTCTGCAAAGTGCAAACTGCGTGGTAGGTATTCTTTTTTTCGACAAAACCGAGAATAACGCGGATACTATGCTATCGGTCACTCGGAAATCGTAACAGCAAGACGCGCGAGACTCTGCACCTTATATTGGCATTACCATCGTATATATTTTCCATCCAGTTTGGCAACAAAACCCAAAAGTTTATATTTGCCCCAAAAGCAAACTTTTGCATTTTGTTGCCACGAAAGGCATATACTTCGTTTAGTGATAGACCCAATCGAAAGAGTGGAGCATGGCGCATCTATGTGCGATGAGTTTACGGCTTTTCCACGATCAGGCAACATCCTCGACCTCATACTCACATCTGAGGACGACAGAATAGGGGACGTTATGGTCAATGCCCCTCCTCCGGGATGCGATCATTGCAGCATCCACTGCAGCTATGTTTTTTCAAAGACATAGAGGTGTCTCCAGAGAACTCGCACCGTCTGTTGTGGCACCACGGGAAATATGACATGATCAACCGCCATATAGCAACAATTGACTGGGACCTTGAGCTTCAGCCTATTTCAGTCGGGCAAACTGCAGGGAGGTAATCTAAAATAAGATTAATCTAATTTGAGATTATGACGTCACCGAAATGGGCGGAGCGATGACCATATAAGGAGCGATAATCAATATTTAGATTATATTTCCGACGTGTCCTCATTCAAACCCCTCATAACCATCGAAGAACTGCTCATAACCACGATATTTTTTTGTTGAGTGACAGACAAAACCCGATCCTACAGATTGCGAACTGGCCAGCACATTTGAGATTGGACTTTGGGAGTTATGACGTGAATAGTGAAGGTCACCGCTGAACGGGCAAATACATTAATCCATTTTACTCCTTTTTATGGTACTCATTAAATGTTAAGAAAGGATTTTTTGGCAGTTCTGAGATAAGAAATATTAAATTATTCAATCCCACTACGAAAAAATGCGTATAATACAACGCATTTATTTCATTTCGGCTACGGCGATTTACGGCCGCGATCTAGCTCTGTCCGTGGCGTCGTGTATCCTCTCGGTAATAATTTTTTCCCGCCCGTATTTTTCGATGGAATGGTGCCAAAGTGGTACCAAAATAATGGTAACATGTTATTTACCCAGCAAAATTAAAGTTGGGTGGTAGAAGTGTGGCATTAATGCGTTATTGGCGTACAAAACCGGTGAGTGTGTTGTTATGAAGGTGACTCAGCTGCACCCCCAGTCATTTCAACCTAGTTTTTTGACAAAATATTGTCAGGCATGGCATGTTTTTGTTAATTTTGACAACTTAGGACATCAATCAACACATCCTGAATCGTTGGTGCCAATTCATTATAAACCTTTGTCTGAGAGAGTAGAAATGAGTTGCTGGGACACTTCTCTGAAAATGTAAACATTGTATTATGGTGTCATATTTCCAGAAATAATTCTGAATTTTGATTATTTATATTTTTCCTTGAAATGACAGTCTGTGTGTTTGTGGTTTGGGGTGCAGTTTTGGCTTATATTTTCAATGCTTTTAATGCTATACGGGTATTTTAACACGAAACTCAAAAGTATGAATTATTCAAAGTTGCATGCCCCGGAACCCCAGTCAGAGGGGTGTTCACGGGCACCGCACACTGCTGCGTGCGGTGTGTGCGGAGCGTCCAGCAGGCGTGGGGGTAGGGGATGGGTAGGCGGCTCTGACGTCACGGCTGCGTGCGGTGGACGGTTCGCTGTGGCCAGTCCTGACCGGCCACAGCGGTCGCTGTGTGCGGTGACGGAAGGCTGACGTAGGGACGCAGTGGGCGGAGCTTGGAGGCTGTGTGCGGTCCGACCGCACACAGGGCCCGTGAACAGCCCTCAGAGCCCAACAGGGCTGCAATACATGACATCATTGCGGAAATCAAACAAGTTAGGTAGTTTTTATCTTTATAAAGTGCGGTAGGTCCCAAGGGATACCAAAACTTGAGTAGCCTCCGTAGTTACGGGAAGTGTTACAGGAAAAGTCGTGGGACGATATCGTTGTTAGGCCAGGTCATTGGTATTCCACATTCACATGGCATTATATACCTTGAATAGGCTTTTGAGCTTAAATAAAAACAAATTTTGATTGCTTATTTCTGTGTTTTATTTTCTAAAATAGCTTAAATATACTTACAGAAAGCCAGGTAATGTGCTGTATTTTTCTTTTCTACGTTAGACTGGCTCTATCTCCCTGCACAGGACGTGACGTTCCAGCGCCTTATACTGTCAGATTATAATGCTAGGGTTTAAACTTTATGCCTACCCTCTTGGATGCGAGATATGTAATCTTAATTTAGATTAGGCCAGCTGAATGTAATCTAATTTAAGATTAGTCAGCTGATTGTGTAATCTAAATAAAGATTAGTCAGCTGATGACATAATCTGAATATAGATTATCCGCCCATTGAGGCTGGATTTTTAATCCTAATTTAGATTATGTTCCCCATCATATTTCAGGAACCCCAAATTTTTTCTCAGAGCTGTTTTGGTGCTTCAGAGGCAGTTTGAGATGTTAACTGTGCTTTGTGAAAGAGTGGTGTGATTCTGTCACTCCTTGGCCACTACACAGCTGTTTCTGCAGAGGACTGCACAAATGCCCAAATATGGGCATAGAATAATCTAAATTCTGATTAATCTACATTTAGATTACCTCCCTGCAGTTTGCCCAACTGATTTATCTGTGAATGACGCCTTCGAACCAACGTCTCCAGGACATATTGGAAGTGCTGATATCCAATTCATCCCGGGATCTACACAAAAAAAGCTTAAGAACAAGGTTCCATGGAAGAGAAACCCACCACCTTCTCTGAAATACCTAAGGTCCTCAACATGAGCTCTGTTCGGGCACTGTTTTTATATCTCAGCGTGCTGTCGGTTTTCCCCAAATAAGGAAGTTATTGCTGGCGCTTCTTGGCCTCTCATTGGTCTAACGAATAGACCACTTGAATTCGACCAATGAGGAGCCAAGAAGTAGCAGCATGCTCGCAGCCTGCTGATGAATAAACGGGGGGCGAACAGAGCTATGGTCAACCTACAAGCAGGCGAGAACGTCCTTGGGCAGGAACTCCCGAGTCCCGAGGCCAAGACACTGCGCCAGTCACCCCGTAGAATGGAAAGAGGTTCACTACAGTGACAGCAGATTTATTACGAATTAACACGAGCCGGTCCGTCCGTCGACCAGACGCGGCGGCGGTCGCAGGCCGAGAGTGCGACGTAACGGAAGTTACTAATAACTCCAACTATGGCCGCCAGGTGGCGGATGCAGACAGCGCTGCAATGCGTGAACGGGGGCAACGCACATCTTCAGCTGCGGCCAACAGGTGGCACGCAGATCGTCGCTCGGCGCACCAGTTGGGCACTGGTCACGGTTCGTCGGAAGGTCATCTCAGGCTCAAAAGAAACGATATATACCATTCGAAAGCTGACGGTGAGCTGAATCCAAAAATGTAATTTTTATCAAAATCGATCGATGGCCTTTTTTGAAAATTGCGTTTTTGTAAAAACTTAATAATCTTTTATTCAACGGGCTGTGCCTGACATTCTTGAAAACATAAACATGTATTTTTGAGTTCCAGTGAAAGCTGAACGCCAAAAGAACAATATTTAGCGAAACAATATTTCCAAACATTAATATGCGTCTCCCACAGCCGAAAATAAGGCGCAATCACACAGCTCAGTGTCACGATGGACCAAAGTCAGCCACACAGAAGCGTGAAATGACCCTTATCGACTCGCAGACCCGGCGTTCTCGGCCCGCCTGACCGGCCACGGAAAGAACGTTTGGCTCTCGTTCTACTAAACAAATGTCATATTTGTCAGTTTAGCTGTCCACATCGCTATTAAAGTTATTCAGGATACCTGTGAAGAAAATTCATTGTTCTGTCATCTTCACATCATGCATTAATTTGCATTTGTTCATGTCTACTTTGCTCAATTGAGCTTGGTATCATGCCCATATAAGGAAAATTGGCCGCGCTGAAATGTCAGAGGTTGCACCGGCCTCAGCTCGGGTGGAGTGGGGGTAGCGCCCGGCGGGGCAGGGTAACCTTTGACCGGTCGCACGGCCGAGCAGCTGTCACCAGTACAGCCTCTGACAGTGAAACCCCACTCACTTCCCCTGCGCGGGCACTGATCGCAGCTGGATGGAACAAAACATGTATAAGAAAAATGTAAATTAAAGCTTGTTGTAAATCGAGCAGAACAATGAATTTTCTTCACAGGTATCCTGAATAACTTTAATAGCGATGTGGACAGTTAAAGTGACAAATATGACATTTTTTTAGTAGAACGAGAGCCGAACGTCCTTTCCGTGGCCGGTCAGGCGGGCCGAGAGCGCCCGGTCTGCGAGTCGATAGGGGTCATTTCACGCTTCTGTGTGGCTGACTTTGGTCCATC